CCTCAGCGGATGAAATATTTTTGATATTAGATAATGTCCAACCATATAAAGTGAGTTAAATACAAATTCATGTAGAATCTGGTAGCAAATCTTTGAGAGATAAACCTTTACAGTCTACTGTTGCTTGTGTAAGAGACCCGGATGTGTCTTCTTAAGCCTCATGAACAAAAAATATGAATAATCTCAAAAACTATATACATTTTAGTCACATTAAATCAAATTCTTCGAGTGTATGCAAGATTCAACATCGACGCGGTTCATTACCGGAAAGAAATGTATTGCATTTGCTTGCCTCTTAAGCTTTACACAGTAAATGAACTGAATTATCCAGCGTCTATTGTGGACCTACTTAAAACCCGCAGAGACTGTGAGCGGAATAAGTGACGGAATTTAGTTCGGGTTTTCACAGTGACCACCAACATGCAAGCCTGTAATCTGCTATTGGAAAGCTGTTCACATCATACAGAGTCAACAATTATTTTACAGTGATTTTGCATACTCCATTGGTCCCGATATTCGTTTATTACTGATACAAATATTTTATTTCGGATACAGACAGATTCAACATCGCAGCTGGTAACTGTTCCTGCGCTATTTTTGAACGGGAATTCAATTGAATTAGCTAGCGAATAATGTATTTAAAACCTGGAGAGACAGTGAACGAAATTAATATAGGAAATCAGTTCATGTTTTAACAGTGCAGAATCGTTTACACTGAACAGAATCATACATAATTTTTGCTTGTAATTTATTAAATGGTATTCACTAAGTAAAAACATTTACAATATATTTTATCACTTAATGAGAGAGGTATTTATGTGTTGACCAATTGATCAGTGACACGTTTTTTGAGGACTACATTTTCTCTTTAGAATTTGGAGAGGATCCTTTCTGTACGATTCACATCAATCTGTAACTTTGCATCTAGTGTTCATGTGTGATATTTGGTGCCTTAATATTGAGGAAAATAGCAATACTTGGTTATGAAATACGATGCACACAAAGCCGAGTTTCGTTACAGATGTGTTATACATAACCTTTATGGCGTTCCGTTGAAATATTCGAGAATTCCGACTCATGGTCGTTGCCTGGCAACCGTGAATATTATTGCCAACTGTCTAGATAGGTACAGGCATGATGGCGGCCTCTTCTGTTTGCAATATTGCCTGCTACAGGATCTGAAAATGGTTCTTTGCCACTGTCAGTGTTGTGCTTAAAACGTGGCCCGTGTACCTCGAAAGTTAGGCCTACAAGTATTTTCCAGATACGTCCTTTTGAATTGTTAATACTTCAGTGACAGTCGAACCCTGATTTTAATTTTACATTTAATTTTTAATGAATGTAGGTCCAAATTCGTGTGACGGCTAAAATAAACTTTATTTTGTATACACGCAACCGGGATACAACGTTGTAAAATTACTAATTCTTATTCTTTACCAACTTTTGCACATAATAGGGACTTACCAACTTTTTTTAAGGTTCATTAGCGATCTTCATGTTTTACCTTTTTCTTAAAGGTTCATTAGCGATCTTCATGTTTTAATCTTGTTCTGAGCGACAAGTAATAAAGCTACTTACGCCACTTTTTCACGCTTACTTCCAGACTAGCGTCTAGCAGACTCTTATGCCCCATTCAGGTACAATTGCATTTTTCAAAATTTATGGAAGTTAATAACTCGCGAGAAAGGATTTAGTTTGCAAAGTTACATTTGTATCTTCGGCTACTATACGTCTTCATTTTTATAGTCGCCTTTGCAATGATTCATACACACAGATTCTGACGTATCCAAAAGACAGCGCCCCATAATTCATCGCGTGCCACCTTTTGGGGTCTAGCCTTGTACCGCGCCCTTTCATTTCATGTCATTAAACCCTTATAGACCCCTTTGAAGCTCATGTGTATTTAAACAGAATATCAAGGAGCTGATTCTACAACTGTGTTAATATATTGAACTGCACGTGTGTGCTTAATTTCAGTTTGAATCAGCCAAAAGCAGAGTTTTTTTAGATGTCTTGCCGCCACCGCCGTCTGACACGCAGAGCAGGGTGTCCGCCCCCTGGAGATCCACACCCACACCCACAACCCCAGAGAAATTGCATACCTTACGCGTGTCCCAACCACAAGAGGGAATCAGTGTGTTCCAGACCCTTCGCTGTTCTTTTCTGTCTCAACTACCCCCTCAATCCCCTCCCCTCCCCTCCCCTTCCATTACTCAAGCTGAAATTTCTGCTCTTTTGTCTGAAAATTTACAGAGTAATGATACATACGCGCTCTTGGAGGAGTAGAACTGTGAACATTTTAAAATACTGCGTCGCTGTGAGCAGTGCGTGATTTGCCCAAAGGCAAAATTGTAGCATAACACGAGCATTCGTTTGTAAATATGATTTTGTTGACCGTCAATTAGATTTTCGTAAACTGATTCGTCGCTTCGATGTGCTGTGCTAACCTGCAACTAATCAGAATAAATTAAGAATCCCGAAAGTGTAGAGCCGCTGCAGTTCCAGAAGTTGAGATGGGAAGGTGAGAAAATGTCAGTTGGAAATCCGAAGAGAGAAGAAAACACGTGATACCAATTCGTAATTGGGAAGATAATATTAAAAAAGTCGGAACGTGTCGTGAAGATTGGAGCGACTAGCAGCTTATCTGAAAGGAGTCCTTTAATTATATTTGCGCAAAATACCTGTCAGAACATGAAATGTATTCCTTCTGCTTTCGGAATAAAAATACATAATTGCGTGACGTAACAGTCTTAGTAGCTGTGCAGCCCACAGCAAAGCGCTGCATGCTGTTTTATCATCCAAGAATAAATATTTACGATCCGTCTGTCTGTCTGTCTACTCACACGAATTTCCTCGTGAAAAGGAAATTTTAAATATAAAAGCACCGCACGGTTGTCTGACAGCGCGCCCTCCGCCCCTCTACCTTGACAATGTCTCTGCCCCTTTTTCGACAGAGTGCCCCCTGGAGGTGACAGACATCTTGCATGTCAGCAGAACGATTCCATTCGATCTCTGCCATCGTAACCTGATTTTTCAGTTCGCTTGGTTTCTGAGTCACTTCGCGGTGCGCCCCCCTCCCCCCCCCCGGGCCAAAATATGCACACGATTTAACTCCCCGCTGCAGTCAACGTACAATTTTCTGTACCAGTCTCGACTTCTGGTTAGAACCCGCCCACCTGACTTGTGTCATTCGGGATGAACGAACGTGTTTTGTTCGAACGGGAGGAGACAAGAGATGTCAGGCTGCGAGAATGTCTCCCTTTTCATTGTCCCTTTGTTATATTCTGTGGAAGATGTTGAATAAAAGGGAGAGAAGATGACAGACGTGGATTGTAAAATGTATCATATTTCAAAACCGTCGGGGGTTGCCGACCGCCCCGTAAGGGATTGAATTCCTCTACTCCTGCACCACAAGGTAACCGCAACATGGGCGCGTAGCCGGGCTCTGCGGTACGTGCTCCAGCAGCACGTATCATATGATCAGTCTCTTGTTCCACGGCACAAGTTATATGAAGTATCTGCCAATTATCGGTGCTTCAGCTATAGAAATTGTTTGTAAATTTCAATGGGAGTGACAACTCTTCTGATGGTCACTGCTTAAAGAAATTTTGACTAGCTGAGATACTATCAGCTTCTAAAGAAGGATTGTGCTCCATGGATGAAGTTTGTGGCTTGTGTCGTTAAAGTGAATTTCGCAGAAGAACACGAATTTTGACATCATAAATGGGAATTTTTTTATATATTTTGTGTGGAATAAAACAGACCCATAGTCACAATAAAATTGGCATGACAGAGAATCTAATTTTGTTAACAGAGGAATTCATTACAGCCATTGCTAACGCTTCTGTGCGTTAAACCTTTCTATTAGCTGCAATGCATTTGAATCAGAACACACGAATGTATTGTTTTCAGAACTTGTCAACGTTAGAATGCACCCAATACGATTCTAGTCTGCCAGTTTATGTAACAGCTAATTTAGAAGTAATTAGATTTTCACCGCGTCAGTTGTGTGAGCGGATGTGAACTCGAAACATTGTTACTGCAGATGAAATGAGCAGTTTAACCCAGCGATGCATGTTTTTATGTTACTCCCTCAAAACGTGGTTATAAATTGCAACGAATGTAGTTTGTAACAATCGCAGAGTTCGTTAATTCGAAGTTCAATTGTGGAAAGAGAAATCATATTTAAACAATGCCATCTGATTGTTTCCATGCTGATTTCTTTTATTAACGCGGGAGTAATCAGTCTCTTTGTAGAGCATTAAAACAGTTACCATTTCAATCTTTCATCTTTTGTTTCATTATTCTGTGATACTGAATGAATTTAAAAGCGTTTAGTTCTGGAAATGACACTATGGTAATAGAACCACCAAAAATTGTACACACATTTCCATCCCCTCACCCCCTCCGTCATACCCAAATATGTCCAACCCCGAGGTAGGTGACCTTATTTCTCCTTTCTGTGTGCCCCATAGACCTTTGATAAAATCTCTTACGTCATTTACAATGAATTTTGAGTGTGGTCTCATGTATTGCGACGCCACGAAGACTTGTAGATGGCTACTAGCTTTCAGAATGGACATATTTTCTCCATCTTCAGGGTACAAGGCCGCAGACCTGATCAATGCCTGTCATAATTGAGGTTGAATATTAATCGCCGTTGAACAAAAACGTTAAAATTATATCACATTTCGTGAAAATACCAAGAGTGATAAGGCGTCTGACCCCGTATTCGAGACGAATCAGGTTCGAGAGGAGGTATGATTACTGGTGTGTTTCGTGGTTTTCCTTATCATGTTGAGATAGTTATTTAAATAGGCCACAGCCACTTCTTTTCAGTCTTATACGCATAATTCCTTATCGCATTCAAAACTACGGAGTTCATGCAACATTGCTAAATGACCTGAGACGCATCCGAACAGAGACATCTTGAGGAAACGACGTTTAGTGTCTGTTGTGCTGCAGTTAAGAGAGAGTGGAGGTCAGGCTCCGTGACTCACCTTTGTGGGGCATTTTCCAGAAGGCTTCGGCACAGGTGGGATCCCTCCCGGACCCCGCCACGAGGCTGGCTCCGAGGCTTAGCGTCTTGCCCGGATTTGGATTCAAGTCTCGAGGGAAACAGGTGCGGCCGGCAACCTCTTCGTCCCGCTGCGGAGGCACACTGCCCCCAGTCGATCCGCTGCCGTATTTGAGAGTTCGCGGTTCAAAACTCGGCCCGAAGACCGGGTACCCTGACTGGTTTTTGTTTTCCATAGTACCTACAGGGCAACATCGGGGCAGTGCCTCAAATTAAACGACTATTTCCTTCCAAATCCATTTCAATTCATTATTCATTATCCTTTCTATCATTTCATGATTTAAAGGCCAGACCTAAGCACTTAAGACGGTGTTAATTAAGCTTTTAATAAAAACTTTTTCGCTGTAATTAACCTTGGAGTTCTATAGCAGGTGGTAAATGTCTTTACTAGATGGGGTACTATCAGCTTTTGAAAAAAGACTCTGTTATATGTAATTAGTTGGTTGAATAATTTATTCTTCCTCAGCGATTCTGGGCCTCCAGTTTGTGGTAACACGGACACGACCTGCCCAAGTTTTGATCAATCGGAGGAAGGAGTGAATCTTCTTGCCGGCATTCACATTCCAAATGCGCGTCGTGATTTTTCTTGTACACTGCAAGGAAAATTCGATAAAACATCTTAAGGTTACGTTACGTCTGACACAAAACAAATCCACGCTTTTGATACAACGTCCCTCGTCTTCTGTAAATGTTGATACATCGAATTAATAGTTCGACAGATGAAAAAAGATAATTTTTATTTAGGAACACCCGGTTCGGTTGCTCTTTTCTCGATGACGCCAAGACCACCCGTTCTCTACCACGAAAGTCGAGCTGACAAGTCAGTCTGTCCGTCGCTGTTTATTCACACGAATGCCGACCGGAGCACGAAGCAAGGCGATTTTAATGTAGGGTCCAGCTAGCCCGACAGTGATGTATGCTGAGTATCCTCTCTGATCCGCTGACTCACTGCAAGGAAAAGGAACCCTGTGGCCTTTTCCTATTGTCATAGGAGTTCAAAGGACGCATGGAAGCAGATTGTGGCATGTTTAACATACGCGCGCTAAATGATGACAAATATTCATGGATCGTCCGGCAACCGCCTCGCTTTAAAAAAAAAAAAAATATGGGTTCCCGTGTTTCTCTTTCGAGCTGAGACACTTGTTTTAAGAACACTGGCCGTAGTGAATGTTAGTAAATAAGGAACATTAAAAACAGTTTTTACTAATGTGTGTATATCCTAACGAAGCTGATATTCGCTCATATAGCCAAGAAATCCGCCGTCAGGAATAGAACGTGAGTTGACAACACCACGCCATGATTCTGTTTTATAAAAAATCCATTTTAATATTATAATATCTCATCTACTCCTAGGTGTTATATGTGATGTGTCTTAAAGTTATTTATTTATTTAGTGTTCTGTCTGACGACAGGTCCATATGAACAGGATCCTTCCATCCTTTTCTCGGACTGGGACCTGTTCATATACGTTCTTGGCAGATGATCCAGAAGTGGTTTGCCATTGCCTTCTTCTGTGTGTGAATGGAGTAATTGTTGGGATGCCAATGAGGAAAACTCCGTGTTGCCTAGGCCACGGCCTTGCCCAACACAAGTTAAAAATTCGGGCCCCGCCGG